GTGTTGTATGTGTGTGTGTGTTGTATGTGTGTGTGTTGTATGTGTGTGTGTGGTGTGTGTGTGTGTGGTGTGTGTGTGGTGTATATGTGGTGTGTGTGTGGTGTGTGTGTGTTGTATGTGTGTGTTGTATGTGTGTGTGTTGTATGTGTGTGTGTGGTGTGTGTGTGGTGTATGTGTATGTGTGGTGTGTGTGTGGTGTGTGTGTTGTATGTGTGTGTGTGTTGTATGTGTGTGTGTGGTGTGTGTGTGGTGTATGTGTATGTGTGGTGTGTGTGTGGTGTATGTGTGTGTGTGTGGTGTGTGTGTGTGTGAGACTTCCATTTGGAAGTCAGGGTATTACTTTAGGAGTCAAGTCTTTCTGCTATGTGGATCCCAGGGATTGAAAAGTCATCAGGCTTGGCTGCAAGCGCCTTTACTTCATCTGCCCAGCATACATTTTTCTCTATTAAGTCTTTCTGTCTTGTTGTAAGAGTTTTGATGTGTAGGCTAAGCTGCCCTTGAACTTGTAGGTGATCTTGCTGTTGCCTCTGGCCTCTGCCTCCTCTGTATGGTGAATACAAGTGTGAGCTGCTAGGCCTGACTACTGCATCTTTTTGTTGTTGAGACAAGGTCTCATGTAGCTCAATCTGGGCTTGAGGACCTGACTCTCCTGGAGGGACTCTAGTCAGCCTAAGGATGACAAACATGGCTCTGGGAGGCCTTGCCCTTCTCCCCCATTCCCTCTGCTTTGCTAAAAACTGTTAAATTACATTCCTAAAGACAGCCACCAAGGTCTAGCCTTTTGGCCACTTCCTCCTCCAGAGGCTGACTACCCAAGTCCAGCTACCAAAGTACTGAAGTTCAGCAACCAGAAGCCCCCCTTGGCTCATCTAATTTACATGCCCAATGAAATCTAAATACCTTAGGCTGGAGAGGTGGCTCAGTGGTTAAGAGCACTGACTGTTTTTCCAGAGGTCCTGAGTTCAATTCCCAGTTAACCTCATGGTGGGTCACAACCATCTGTAATGGAATCTGATGCCCTCTTCTGGTGTGTCTGAAGACAGCGACAGTGTACTCATACACATAAAATAAATAAATCTTAAAGAAAAACTAAATACCTTTGGGGCTGGTAAGATGGGTCAGTGGTTAAGGGCACTGGCTGCTCTTCCAGAGGTATTGAGTTCCATTTCCAGCAACCACATGGTGCCTCACAACCATCTATAAAAGGGTCTGAGACCCTTTTTTGGTATGCTGGTGTACATGGAGTCAGAATATTCAGACAATAAAAAAAAGAATATAAATTTAACAATTATTTAAAAAAAAAAAACCAATTAACTACCTCACCATAACACGGGTTTTCACCTTTTACCTTTATAAACCAACACTTGCCTATGGCCACATCTGTCTCCTCTCTATCCAGAGGCATCCTCCTCTGTTACCCTCTGGGACAAATACCCCTTCCTTCTCTCCCTTGTTCCCTCCCCCCTCTTCCTTGTCCTCTGTCTCCTGCCTTTGTCTCATCTCCCTGCTCTCTGTCCCTCAGGGAAAAAGAAATCTCCTTCGTGCTGAGAACTTGGTCTTTGGTGTCCGGAGTGGATAGCTTCCCCTTCACCTCCTGCCTCTACCTGCCCAGCATTGGGATCACAGGTTATACGTGTGTGCTGCCATATTGGCTCTATAGTAACACTTTAAAAACTCTGTCCTAATTGGCTACTGGCCTCCTGCTCTTCAGCTTGTCACATTGTTCCCAACACCACACACGTGAATTTGGAGGATGGAGGAAGGAGTTATCAATTCACCCTGACGAGACGCGGTAGCCTTTAAACCCCGCATTAGGGAGTTACGGTCAGGCAGGTCTCTGTGAGTTCCAGGCAAGCCTTGTCTTTCTATCACGTTCTAGGCTCTCCATGACTGCTAAACAACACAACAAAACAAAACCGCCAATCTGGAGTAACCAAAGCCAAGTTTGATTCTTGGGAATGCAGGCAGAAGGGTCTCGAGTTCAGTCATTTTCAGCTCTCTGGAGAAACTGAGACTCTATGTGACCCTGTCCCAAGCAAACACCCCCAAACAAGCAAACAAAAGCCGGCAACTGTTCGGTTGTGTTATTTTCTGCGGAGCTTTCAATAGCTCCCATTACATTCGAGATAACCTGAGGTAAGGAAAGTCCCAGCGCCTCAGGCCTCCTTACTTGCTTCTCTCGACTCTCTAGTGGTTAGCCCCTGTCTCTTTGAACTTTTCCTTATCAGTGCTTGGCACACATTGCTGTGTCTTAGGGCAAGGCCCTCAGCGGCTCAATCCTTTGTGTTAAATGAAGATACTAATATAATCACTTCTCTGTTGTTTATTTACTGATTAATGCGGAGGGTGGAATCCAGTGTCTCGTGTATATAGACAAGGGCTCTCTGTGTTTTCTTTTTATTTAATTTTAGAGCACGTTATCCCAGAGTGACAGTTTTAAGCCAGACTTGCTTAGTAGAGTAACATTCCGAATATTTGGCATTTGCACTGCCCCCTGGTGGTTAGCCCACACTTTACAGCGGGGGAGAGGTTAAGGGGAGGACTAAATCTCCAAGGTATCTTAAGAGGCCGGACCTCGGAGACTTGGCCTTATTTACATACCCACAATGCACTGCAGAGGGATCGTTGCTCGATTTAAGACGAGAAACCGCGGATTTCTTTTTTCTATCTTGTTTTCCTTCATAATGGTACGTCTTTCAGAGAGTTAATTGAGACTAAAGGAGAAGTCTTGTGTACTTTTGACTAAGAAGTTACCATCGTTGAATTAAGATATACAGTCAGGTGAGAACTAGGTCCAGCAGTTGTGTTGTATACTCTGGTTTCTCTTCAGATCGTATAAATCTTTCGCCTTTTACTAAAGATTTCCGTGGAGAGGAACAATTCTGAGTCTTTACTCAATTTTTTGAGGCCTTGTTTTTTATAAGGCTAGTAATGGTCATAAAAAAAACAAAACAGGGCGTTTATTCTTTCATCTAGCAACAAACAGTAGAAAGGACATCTGTCTTGACGGCAGCTTGTCTTAACATAGCTTCTCACTATGTGAGCCTGTTTCCTGAGTATCAAAGGTAGGAAAACAAGAAGGTTTTCTTAGAAGATAAAGAAAGCAAAACCACTCTTTTTTTGAGAAGAGTAAAAACCCAACTAAATACAGCAAAGAAATAGTTCTTTCTTACAACCTCTCCCATTCTGGTGAATGCTTTCTGTTTTTAATCTTTGCAGACAAAAACAAACCTCCCAGCTGGGCATACTGGTGTGTGCTTTTAGTCTCAGCATTCAGGAGACAGAAGCAGACATATTTTATGGGTTCCAGAGATCCTGGCTGGAGAAAAAAAGCGAAATATCAACAAATCCTCCTAAGGAAACAATAACAGAGGGGGTTGGAAAGATGGCTCAGGGCTTAAGGGCACTGGCCACTCTTCATGAGTTCAGTTCCCCGAAATTCCCATTTGTATATTGGATCCAATGCCCACTTCACATAACTAAATCTTTTTTTTTAAAGAAACAATAGCCGGGCAGTGGTGGTGCATGCCTTTAATCCCAGCACTTGGGAGGCAGAGGCAGGTGGATTTCTGAGTTCGAGGCCAGCCTGGTCTACAGAGTGAGTTCCAGGACAACCAGGGCTACACAGAGAAACCCTGTTTCCAAAAACTAGAAACCAAAAAAAAAAAAAAAAAAAAAAGGTGGGAGGGAAAAAAAGAAAAGAAACAATAACAAACAAACAAACAAATCCGGGCAAAATCTAACAGCAACAAACATAACCCAAACCAAAACCAACAGAATCTCCAACAAAACACTCAGAGCAACGGGGAAAGCAAGAGAGCTCAAACGAAATCAAAACTGAAACATGTAATCAAAGTTAATTAGGCCCGGTAACACAGGCCTGTAATTCCTGTGGTCAGGAGATCTAAGGTTCAAAGCCAGCCTAGGTAACTTGGGTTTATAATATTTTTTGCCTCAAAAAATAAAAAGTAGAAACGATCTGGGGCTACAGTTCAGTGATAGAACATTTACACAGCGCCAATGAAGCCCCAGGCTTGGGCCTTGGTACCACACAAGAGACTAGAGTGGGGGGCTGGGGCTGGGGGGTGGGAGGAACAGGAGTGTGGACGGCTCAGCTGAGGTAATTGGTAGGTCAGCAGATGGTTAGAGAGATGGAGATTAAGAAGAGACTTCAAGAGCCGAAGGAGCGGAGTCGGAGAGAGAGGGAGAAGGGAAGGGGGAAAGAAAAAAAAAGAAGAGACTTCAAGGAACACTTTGATATTGAGTTACAAGAAGAATGAGCGACAGCCAAGAGAGCTGGGAAAGGTGTTTGTATCCGGAGTTGTTAAAGACACAACGAGAGGTAAACGGCTGCCTGCAAACAAGGGGTCGAGGGAACAGGGAACAGAAGCAAAGCAAAAGGTAGAAGAGAAACGTGTGTGTGTGTGTGTGTGTGTGTGTGTGTGTGTGTGTGTGAGAGAGAGAGAGAGAGAGAGAGAGAGAGAGAGAGAGAGAGAGAGAGAGAGAGAGAGAGAAATATGGGGGCTTAGAGCAGTGTTTCTCAACCTGTGGGTCACGACCCCTTGGAGTTGCCAACCCTTTCACACGGGTCGCCTAAGACTATGAAAAACAGAGATACTTATATTATGGTTCGTAACAGTAACAAATTACAGTTGTGGACTAGCAATGAAAATAACTTTATGGTTGGGGTCACCACAGCATGAGAAACTGTATTAAAGAGTCACACTGTTAGGAAGGTTGAGAACCATTGCCTTAGAGGATCAAGAGGAGGTGGGACCGCCTCTAAGAGGAGATAGGGCCTCTATTAAGGCCACAGTGTGCCCTGGAGCCCTTCCAGAGACTTGGCCACCCTTCCCCTGGGACCTGCTTTGGGTAAGTTGGAACACTCAACGCTATGACGCAGCTTTCATAGATCTCCTTTCCGCTCATACCACACGGTACAGATAACACCAAGACTCTTTATTAGACCCTTCTGCAGAAATAGCTTCCCCCTCCCCCGCTGCATTTTCTAAAACGTAGCTTCCCACCCAGGGCCAAATGGCGCCGTCCTCAATGACACCCTCGTGGCAGGCAGGCTTCCATTAGGCACAACCTTGGCCTTCCTGGTTTGCCACGGGGGCTCTGTCACTCCTTGGATTCTGAATGAAGCTTCTCAAAGTCGCTGATGCGTCCCGTCTGATTCGAATCATCTGAGCCGGTGAAGAAGCTGATGGAGCTGTTGTTGATGCAGTCGCAGCTGTCTAACACTGCAGGCAGCAAAGGTCAAGTGTGAGCCCGAGTGCTGGTCCTGACTGGGCTCTGGATCCCTTCACCCGCTGCTCACCTCTGGTAACATTGACTTTGTTGGCTGCCAAGATGTCCGCTTGAATGCTATCTATTTTTGTGTACAAGATCTCGGCATCGCTCTGGGGATAGAAGCAGCAGGAGCCTGGCTGGGCACCAGAGCAGTGTGCCCCTGGAGGTGGGCTAGGGAGGACGGGTTACCGCGAGCAGAGCTGCTTAGGCAGAGAGGTCCTGCTTCCAGTTTACTAGCTAGGGACAAGAAGACAGTGTAGGGGTGGGGGGCGTCCAAGTCGGGAGACTTGATTCATGCTGTGCACAGGGACACTGTTCTGTCCTGGGCATCTGCTGAGGCTGGTGGGAACGGAAGTACTTACAAGGAAGAGCTGGTAGAGTTCTTCCCCCATGGACTTGCGAACGTGTTCCTCCACCAGTGGGAACATTTGCACAAAGTACTGCGGCAGAGGGTGGGCGGGGTGGCAGGACAGTGTGGGTATCTGCAGACTTGACTGCCCATGTCCTGCAGTCTGCCACATGCCCCACCCCAGCCCTCATACCTCCAGTGTGAGGCTGGCCAGCCTCTGGCTATTGCTGTGGTCAGTGTTACCCATGGCGGACATCAGGCCGTGGATGACGCGCAGGCGCAGCAGCTCCTCTGCCAAGTTCAAGTCGTTGCGCGCCAGGATCCTTGTGAGTAGGGAAAAAAAGACAGAAACAACCGTGGGGACATAGGAAGGGAAAAGAGCCTCTCACCCCCAAGTTTGAAGTCTCTCTCCAGCTGAGAAACAAGAATTCCAGCAGAGGTAGGATTAGTGGCTCATGCATTTAATCCCCGAATTCAGGAGGCAGAGGTGGAGGCAGGTGGATCTCTGTGAGTTTCAGGCCAGTTTGGTCTATGTAGAGTTCCAGACCAGCCTGGGCAACATAGACTTTATATTATAGAGAGACCCCTCTCTCTCTCCCTCTCTCTCTCTCCCCCTCTCTCTCACCTCCACCCCAGCCCCCCATGCACAAATCAGTAAGCTACAATTCTTCCTTGAGAAGCCCATACCCACACTACTGTGTGTGTCTTTCTGTTTTTGAGACTGGGTCTCACTATGTAGCCCTGACTGTCCTGGAACTCTCTATGTAAACCAGGCTGGTCTTGACCTCACAGAGATCCACTGGCCTCTGCCTCCTGAGTGGTGGTGCCCGTCAACCCTGTATCTTTAATATATAATATATTAAAAATCTAATCACATATATATTTTATATATACGAATGAGCCAGGAATGGTGACACAGGCCTTTGGTCCTAGTGTGCAGGAGGCTTGCATTGTCCAGCTTGACTTGCCTTGCCGTAATCACCCACTCCCTCTGCAGCCCTACCCAATGGTCTTGGCAGCTGCAGCCTGCTGCAGGAACACTGGTAGCTGGGTGGTGATCTGGAGAATTGAAGAGTCTGAAGAAATGAGGGACCATCAGCCAGGAAGCCTTTCCCACTTCCAGGGGGCAGTCCCATAGAAGAGTCCTACCGCTGAAGATCCTGGCCTGCAGTTTGGATGTCTCCTTGACTGGTGGTATGAGTAGGGACACAAGGCCCTTGAGAAGAGGTAAGCGCACGTCGTAGTGGATCAGGTCCTTTATCAGCTCGATGGCTGGAGAAGGAAAGAGATGCTGGAGAGGCCTTGTGTCCTTCCAAACCCACCATACCTTTCACTCTGCTGTCTCTATCACCTCTCCTGGTACCTTCTGCTGCTCAGCGGCCTTATGGGGGGAGGTTACACTTCCTTCCTGCCCTTCTGGAGCCCAAGATTAAACGCCAGTGAGAATAGGAATCAGAGGGAAGGAAGGAGATGCTGAATCCATCAAGAAAGGCTCAGAGGTCAGAGCTGGAGATTTGAGGTCTACAGAAAAGAGCTGCCTTTAGCTTGAAGGAGTTCAGCTGTGATAGAGGAGGAAAGGGCTGGGCTAGGACAGACTACATTTACTTTTTAAAAATTTGATTCTTATGGATCAAACTCAGGGCCTCCTACATTCTAGGGAAGCATTTAGCTACATCCTCAGGCCTGAGTTGGGTCTTTTTTGTTTTGTTTTGTTTTTGTTTTTTTGTTTTTTTTTTTCGAGATAGGGTTTCTCTGTGTAGCCCTGGCTGTCCTGGAACTCACTCTGTAGACCAGGCTAGCCTCAAACTCTCGAACTCAGAGATCCACCTGCCTCTGCCTCCCAAGTGCTGGGATTAAAGGCGTGTGCCACCACTGCCCGGCTTGTTTTTGTTTTTTGAGACTCCTCATCTTACATTATTGCCCTGAGATCAACCCTCAGAAACCAGGTAAAGATAGAAGGAGAGAAGTGACTCCACCAAACTTCCCTCTGACCTTCGCAGGCTCACCCCCCTACTCCCCCACCCCCTACCCATCCACCCCTACCCCCTCTGCATGCTTGAAATTCTAGCACTTGAAAAGTGGAGGCAGGAGTTTGAGGTCATTAAAGAAAAAACCAGTCAGGAATGGTGGCTACAACACTTGCTTCCTCTACAAACACTTCCTTAGGGAAGGAAGTGCCTGTAGTTTCTGTAGTCCAGATGCTGAGGTAGAGGATTTTGAATTTGAGGATGGTTTAGGCTTTAGGTAGATCAAGACCCTCTATCTATCTATCTATCTATCTATCTATCTATCTATCCTTTTTAACAAATCAGCTCAGCATGGTGGAACAGGCTTGTACTCTAAGCACTTGGGAGGCTGAGGAAGGCAGAGGCAGGAGCATTAAAATTGAGGATAGCACTATATAGCTAATTCCTGACAAATCGAGGCTACACAGTCAGATTCTGAACAAACGAAAACCAAGTCAGGATGACAGTGATAATAGCCACCCATTGTCCTCTTGGTCCTGCTGGTCATTTCTCTGGGTTGTATGTTTCTTAGAGGCCCTGCAGGCCACCCTCAGGATCAATCCTGATGTCCAGTTCTTGATGCTTCCTGATGCTCAGATGTGGCTCTTGTTGTTGCTGCTGTAGTGGATGGGGGCCTAGGCTATGTAGCCCTGGATGGACAGGAACTTGTTATGTAGACTGGTTTGCCTGAAAAGCAATGGGTCCGGGACCCAGCTTACTCCCTTCTCCTCTGTGGTTCTTAGCTTTCTGCTCTGGGTCTACTTCTTGCATCCTGCCAGAGACCCTCTCTGAGATTTGCTTCCCCACGTGCGTAACCACCCGTGCAAAGGGCTTGGCTGCCCAACCATGCAGGGAGGCTCTCTCTCTCTCCCTCTCTGCCCCGGACCTGTAAAGTGAGTGTTAGTGGTGCCTTCTGCCACAAAAACAACTAACATGAACGTTGCGGTGATATGGGACATGCTTGCTTTTCCTTGCCCATTGCAAATTCTAGCCGCCAGAGACACTGGGCAGTGACTTCCAGCTGCTAGTAGGAAGTCCCGCCCTGTTGCTGCCGCCCGCAGACCTGACCTGCAGCACCTGTTGCTCACAGCCCCAACCCACCAGCCGAACAATCATATGCCACTGTCGCCAGCTTTCTTATTCTGGTCCTAGCCAAATGTTTCTTTTTTGTTTTTGTTTCTTTGTTTTTTTCGAGACAGGGTTTCTCTGTGTATCCCTGGCTGTCCTGGAACTCACTCTGTAGACCAGGCTAGCCTCGAACTGAGAAATCCTCAGAAGGCCTGCCTCTGCCTCCCAAGTGCTGGGATTAAAGGCGTGCGTCACTACCACTCTGTCATTTTTTAAAATAATATATAACTGGTAGATTGTTGTTTACTCTTTCTCAGACTTCTGACTACATTGACATCTAAGCTTTCACAGATATTATCTGTTACCTCATTACCTAAACTCAGTTGCCATCAATTAAATGCTTCATATTTCCTCTTCTTGCTATGACACTGTCCTAATATTATATGAGTTCCTATAAACTTGCCTAACTCTAATAAAACATTCCACTATACGATCCAGCAAAGGCTCATCTTAAAGACTGCTTGTGTTGTTAACTCATGCTGTTATATCTTTTGTAAACTTATAAGCTACAGGAAACCCACTCAGATCTACCTCTCATGGACCAAATAGATACCATCCAGATAAGTACATCTGCCTAAAGTTCCCACTCACTACCTATTACAAAGGGTGGGATCCCTCTGGGTTTCAAATGTACATCTTAGAAAAATTTTCTTTCTCCCAAATGCACTTAATCTTATTCCCTACATCTTGTCAAGTCCAGGCACATCCAGAGAAGCAACCTCCAGATGCTCCGTCTCCTGTCACACATACAGCTGCTTCTACTGGACCTGTTCCTTCTGACCTATCCTCAGATGGCTTGCTCCGTAGAACAGCAGAAAACAGCCAACTCTCCTAAGACTGGACAAACATCCCCCATATTCATTCTTCTAGGTTCCCCCTAAAGACACGTCGCCCCCAATGCCAGCAGGAAGTAGCCAGATATCATGACGACCCTATTCCTGCTTTGCCATCACCTCTTTCTAATTTTTCTTTTTTAATTAAACCAAAACGGGGGAATGTTAATATTCTGTCTAAACTCCACCTCCACAGTTACCTGGCAACAGCCAGGTAGGCCTGCTCACTATAAAAGGGGCTGCTTGCCCCCTCCCCTCTCTTTTACCCTTTCTCTCTCTTAATCTCTTGATCTCTTGCCTTTAACTTCTCTCTGCCCCCTCCCCCTTCACTTCTGCCTCTCTCCACGTGGTCATGGCCGGCCTCTACTTCTCTGTTCTCTCTCTCTCTCTCTCTCTCTCTCTCTCTCTCTCTCTCTCTCTCTCTCTCTCTCTCTCTCTCTCTCTCTGCCTCTACTACCTTCCTGGCTTTCCACCCCATGCCCTGAATAAACTCTATTCTATGCTATACCAGTGTGTGGCTGGTCTCTCAGGGGGAAGAGCTGCCTTGGCATGGGCCTGCTGAGACATCTCCATCTCTCACACCTCTCCATACACCCACAGGACATACTCTCTGTATCTCTTTATCCTTTTATAAACACAACAGCTATATATTTTTTTTGAGACAGGATCTCTCTACATAGTCCCAGGTAGCCTAGAACTAACTATGTAGTCCAGGCTGGCCTTGAACTCATGGAGATCCACCTAGCTCTGCCTCCTGAGTACTGGGAATACCATGCCCAGTATTAGAGTTGGTTATTAGAGAGGCTGCATGCCTCTTTTAGATGAGAACAGGTCTGGAAGGCTGCTCTTCTGTAAAAGGAGCTGACATCATGAAGGAAGTCTGTGTTAGCCAGCCGGTGGCTATACGCAGGCTTTTCTATGACATACTCTCTGTTTTGCTTAGGGAAGATCTTTTCATGGAAGAAGAGGTTGGGGTCTGACACTTGCTCAGACAGAATCACAGGTGGTTCTCTTGATTGGGTACTTTGTGTAACCCCACAGCCTTCCTGTGCATCCACTTCCTGCTCCCCCCAACCGGAAGGCTGTATGCCTTTGTTTAACTCTACATAGAGTTCAGTTAATGAACACCTTCCTTCATCCTCATACTCTGTAGAATCGGGTTTAGGAAGTAAGATTTTTTTCTTCTGTTAATCTGTCTATGAATCATTTCACAGATAAGGATGATCATGCCTTTACATTGGACAGACTAAATCTAAAGCTTGCGTACACACACAGCCACTTCCAAGGTGCCCACCTATGTCTGAAGCAGTAGAGGAATTCTTTGCTCCTAGAGCCTTGGGGAACCAGGGTGCCAGTTTACTGTGCACTACTGGACAAGACTGCCACCTTCTGGCTGCACAGAGGAAGCACACTTCAGCATAAATGTTTCTTTCTTTTCCAGCGGAATATCCTCGGCAGGCTGTACTTGACCAGTCAGTCACATGCTCTCTGATTCCTGAGTGTTCCGCTGCCCTTTTAACTACATCCTATTCAAATACTAATGTTGAAGCACTAAAAATAGATTAACTCGTACATTTTTAATTACACTGTATTCAAAGACCAATGCTGAAACACTAAAAATAGATGGATTAATTAATTATTAGTCACAGCGTCTTCACTGTTAGATCAAACTGGCCTTTATTTTGTGGCAGTCCTCCTGCTACAGCTGCCATCGTCTCGATTCCAGAGACATGCCACCATGCCCAGATAAAAATACTTTCAGAGAATTGTTTTATTTTTAAGAGCTGGGGAGGGCTGATTAGATGGTTCAGTGGACAAAGGCACTTGGAACCAAGTCTGATCAACTGAGTAAGATCCCAAGGATGCATGGAGGAAAGAGACAAGCTCTGCTATTGCCTCTGACCTTCCCATCTCTGTGGCGTGCACGCCCCAATAAATAAGTAAGTAAGTAAGTAAATAAATAAATAAAAAGTAATAAAGGGCAGGAGATGTTCAGCAGTCAAAGCAATCTTGAGAACTGAGTTCATGTCCCCAGCACCCATGTAAACGCTGGGTTAGCACTGTGGCTGGATTGTACTCTTAGCCCGAGGGAACTAGAGATAGAGACCCCAGAGGCAAGCTGGCTCGCACAGCTCCTCACACTGGTGAGCTACAGGTTCGGCTAGAGACCTCCATATGTAAAGAGAGTGGCTAAGGAAGACCTCTGATGTCATTTTCTGACCTCCAGGCACATGTGTGAGAACACACACACACACACACACACACACACACACACACACACACACACACACACAACTTTAAAGTC